CAGCAATTCAATATTGGATGGCACCCATGATGATATGTTTATGAATAAAAGGGGCTATTACCCAATGTTAATACCAGTCTTCAGGGTCTAGTGATGGGTAGACTCAGCATGCATCTAACCTCTTGCAATTTTTTTTTTTTTTACGTTTTTTGGCACAAAGTGACTGCTCATAAACTTAAAACTTAACCCATATTTCAACACTCGTGAGTAGCCCAAGAGTTTACCAAATACACCAAACAAAGGAGATGTTCCTGATAAGGGCGGATTTGGCCCTTCAGTGAAATTGTGACACCTGGCACCTCATGCAAATCAAGTGCAGCCTCTTGACAATTGGGCAGCTCAGGCAGCTCGGCACAGCTCGGGCAGTTCGGCATAGCTCGGGGAGCTCGGTATAGCTAGGGGCAGTTCGGCATAGGCAGCTCGCCATAGGCAGCTGGCCACTCCGCAGGCAGCCTAGCGTCTTACGAAGATCTTGCCACTTAGGGGCAGCTCGGCACTTACAGGTAACTCGGCATAGGTAGTTCGGCACTTAGGGGCAGCTCAGCGTATCGTAGGAAGATCTTCTGCCTGACAACCATACCTGACAGATCCGGAGGCCTGCGCCCACGTCTCTCGCTAGGCAGCGTAGTGCCTGCTAGTCCTGAGAGCTGTCCCTTGACTGGCAGAGCCGTACTCTGCAGCAGCCGCCTACACCCACCACCTCAGCTCTGGCAGTAACGGCTGCGACAGATAAACAGAGGCAGTTACGCCTGACTTGACAGAGGCTGTTCACCTGATTTGACAGGACACCACTATATAAGGACTCCGACCCCCAAAGATAAGGAGGAGAGGATGAAAAAATGGAGGAGAGGATGAAAAAATGGGGGAGAGGATGAAAAAATGGAGGTAATCCTTGGTCTCTAGCTCTCTCATTTCTCTCCAAGCTCTCTACAATCATAATGCTAACTTAGGCATCGGAGAGTCCCCGTCAGGAAAATACCCCCGGGTCCTCTAATTCAGTTCTTGCAGGTTCCTCAGCTCCCGCCGCCTACAAAGAAGAGGAAAAGATGGAGTTCTCGTAGGTCCCTCAGCTCCCACCGCCTACAAAGGAGAGGAAATCACCTCATGGAGAGGGCAATCAGGTTGCACTACACCAGGGAGCTCCACCATCCCCTGAGTTACAGGCCGCCTAGGAGCAAGTCAAATGACGAGTCCACCCAAGTAGCTCTCCACCAGGGAGCTCATCACCAAGTAGCTCTACACCAGGGAGCTCATCACCAGTAGACCTGTTCATGGTCCGGGTGGCCCGACGGGCCGGCCCGACCCCCAGACGGGCTTGAACAGGATTTTTGGCCCGCGGGCTTAACCTCGGGCCAAAAAGCCCGGCCCGCATAAAATTCGAGCCGGGCTCGGGCTTTGCCAAAATAGCCCGGCCCGACCTATAGTTAAACCTAAGTAAAAACCCTATGTGATGTCTATTTGAATAATTTTTTTGATTTGAGGTCATTGATTCACTTGTAAGCCCATTGTTCATTTAAATAGGGGAAAAAAAACATTTAAATTAAAATAGAAAATGTCGAAAAATTTTGAATTTCTTTTATTAGGTCGGGCTTCGGGCTTTTTATCAGGGCCGGGCTCGGGCCCAAGTTGTAGGCCCGTTGGTCGGGCCAGGCTCGGGCTTGGGCCTAACAGTTTTCTGTTAATACAGAGTCAAAGCCCGGCTCGAGCCCGGCCCGGCCCGGCCCATGAACAGGTCTAGTCACCAGGTAGCTCTCCACCTGGGAGCTCGTCACCAGGTAGCTCACCACCAAGGAGTTCGTCGCCAAGTAGCTCATCACCAGGCAGTTCACCACCAGGGAGCTCCATCATCCTCTTGAGTCACAGGCCACCTGGGAGCAAGTCAAACGACATGGTACTTAGCCAAAAAATTGATACATGACCAGAAACGGTTACATCAGTTCCCAATATAGGATGTGCGTATGAGGCGCCAGGTGTGAGGAGCAATCCGATGTCCAAACAAAGGACCCTAGTTGACCAGTTCATAATATCTAAAGAATGGGAAACAAATATTGGGATGGAAATCCTCCTAATTTAATTGGCATCTCTTCAAAGCAAATTGCAATTTGCAAGATTTGTCTTTTATGGACCCACCTATTCCATATAGTTTCTTTTTCTTTTTGCACATGAAATATTGGGTTTGACCCCATACCCATAGGAGCGGAGACGGATCGGCTGCCCACGTGGCGTGCCCCATAGCGGCCCTACCGCCCATCCCCTCCGAACATTGGGAATATCTCCCCATCACAAGCACTGGAGGATGGCTGTGGGGCAAGCTATATGGGCAGCCGATCCGATCACAGAAGGGGTTGCTATACGCTGTACCCAGATAGCAGGTTAGTAGTACAGATGCAGGCTTAGCATTCGCTACATGGAGAAACTGCCTTGCCAATTTAGAGGAGTAAAATAGGCCATGCCGTGCTAGCTCGCGGGCTATCTTGGGCCGTGCCGCTCTCCCTAGGAATAATTTGAGGGGATGCTCCAGTACAGCCCACGGTCCAAGTTTGTGTAGGCTCGTGTCGTGCCGCAGGCCTGGGTTGGGCAGGCTATAGGCTGTGCTGTGGACCTGGGCCATGTCGGGTTGGCCCATAGGTCGGGCCTTGGGGGTGGGTTGAACCGGGCCTTTTTTATATTTTATATTCTTTTTTTATTAAATAAAACTAAAATATTTAACTTTTCTTTGGAAACTATTTTAAAAATAAGAAATCTAATAAAGAAATGGGAAAAAATATTTAATCAAATAAGAAGTCAAAGAGACAGACTCAAAAGTGAATAACAAATTGGAAGAAAAATAAGAATTTTATTTCATTTAAATTTGAATGATACAAAGCATACGATGGTTGGACCAATGAAATATGAAAATTGAAAATGGAATAAATTAATAAAATATAAAGAATACAATATACTTGTTATTAAAAATATCAAATAAATTAAATAAAATTAAAACAAAGTTTACAATAATTTGAAAAAATGCTATACAACTATTGAGTATACAAAAAATATTGAGTTCATCATTTTCTCCTATTGTTCTTGACTTTGAGTATCGGGGTGCTCCCAATACGATACGGGCCGATATGTAACGGTTTTTTGAACCTTGATTCAACCCCGTAGTTATATATACCAACCACAATCTGAAATGTATTACCTTAACTATTTCCTTCACTCTTGGTCTATGCAACAAATGGATGTACCCAATGACTCCGGATTTCCTAATTCCTACCCTACCCACATAACACTACTGCAGTCATGTATGAGGAACATCTCATTCTCTTATATGTAATTATGCAGGAGAAATGTTTCCAATGCACTGTTTATAGGAGATCTAGAGTTGTATCTAATGCATTTTTGAATGGTAATTTATAAATAATCGATGAATAGGTGACTCAATCGTAGGCATTTAATGTGCCTGTTTACCAAAAACTTAACAGTTTTCTTGTCAAATTAAATAGAGAATGACCCCAGTATTTTTTGATAATTTTTTTTATTAAACAAAAAATGTCTAAATTTTTATTGTTATTTCTTTATTTTTTAAAAGACTATTTGTATTAATTGTAATATTTAGTTAATTAATTATTATTGTTATTATTAAGTATTTAATTAATGATTTTACTATAAAAATTTAAAGATTAGTCAAAATGTAATATTTAATTAAAGATTAATATTATTTTTAATTAGTAATAATATTCAGTATTTAATTACTATATACTATTGTTATAATAGATTTTCTAATTACACTAAGTTCTAGTAATTTATATACCTTTAATGCACAATCAGTTTTTGAAGTTTACTATTTAGTTATAAAAGATTAAATTAAAAAAACTAATATGAGTCTTACATCTTTGTAATTTACAATCTATTTTGATGTATTTTATTTGAAACTCACTATTAATTTATGTTTTTCTTTTTAATTTGATTTAAGATATTAAATGAGATCTATTGGTAAACTATTACCCACTTTATTTGGTATTTACTATTTATCTAATAAATCTATTTTGAGTTATTTATTTTTAAAAGTTAAATTAGGTTGCTTCCTAAAAGTTAAATCAAGTTTGTAATTAATAAAGTATTTTCTTTTTGAAAAAAAATTATTTAAAAATAAACATGAATTTGTGGTAATCTTTTAATGGGTCCCACCATTTGTATTTAATAGAGTATGGATAAACATGCGTTAAGCTAATAAATAACTGTCTATTGAGAATGTTTAGGAGTGAAAGGACCCACTTTTTGAATCCTATTTCTTAAATTAATAGCATGCCACGTGTGACAGTGGACTGTGGGGTTTACCAATACCTTCTCAGACGTATCTAACTTTCTAGAAAAATGAAAAGACCACATGTCTGAATGATGGGGCTGTAGCCTTGTAGTGAGTTGTAGATTTTATCGGAAATTTCTCAAAAATTACCACATGTCTAACTTTTCAAAAAATGAAAAGACCACTAGTCTGAATGTTAATAATGAATTATGGACTTTAACAATAATTTCTCTGAATACCTTCATTTAATATAAATAAATATATATAAGGCCGACTCTTCCATGTTTGTCAAAAAGCCTTGACCATAGTTACGTCCTCGATCTTTATGTGGACCGTATCTTAGTGTCAAGAAGTGATAATCAATGCAGTCGACCTTCATGGTCTCGGCAATGCGTTCGCTATACATAAGATCTACTGTTTATTTATCAAAAGAAGAAAAGTAAAAATTAAAGATCCATCACCTTCCTATCATACATGGAACAAATTGGTTGGTCAAACAGAGTCCATAAAATTAATTTATAACGAGCCAAAGTTGACTTTGGACCAACATTTCTCTCTCCTTCGCTATTATTTATACAAACATAAATATTCTTAATTTTATGACTGAAAAGTCTTTTCTGACTTAATTATGATATTTATAACAATACAATACAATTAACTTATATATATATATATATATATATATGGTACCATTGCTGATATAGGACGGGCTTTTTCACTCATTCCATCGCTTTTAATTGATAAGAGTATCTTTTATGCTCTTCAATTTTTGAAGAATGTCTCTCGTGTTCATGCGCAATTCTGGTGAATCAATGGCACATGATAACCCAATCCCTAATATAGAGACCAAAGCTTGCTCAATCTTAGGGCTTAAAGGTAGACCGGCATGGTGAACACCATCCACTTGCAGTAGCAGTTCAGGGTCCACAACTTCTTTAGTGTTGACAGGGAACATCGATTGCACCCACTCGGCTAAACTCACATCTCTGTGAAATTCCTCTTGGCGGGTTGGGCTCTTCCCTGTGAAGAGCTCTAGCAACATCACTCCATAGCTATAAACATCTCCTCTGGGTGATGGTTTAACACCTAATCCATACTCTGCATTCATTCCAGGCATTTCCATTAGGTTATATGTCAAAGGAGTTCCAAAACCCAAATAAAAAACCTCTTCTTTATTTCCAGGTTGGTTGTTTTCAAGTGTACTGACGCATTTAGGCCTCGTTTGTTTTACGTTATCTAGGCATTTATCCAAGCAAGTGATTCCTGGGAAAACGTTACCCAGATAATCACAAATATAATGTTCTCATGATATACTCACCCTCTAGGAGCTAGGAGAGTATTGGTTACTCAGATCAAAAAAATACCGCAAACCCCACTGTAGAGACAGCCAAGCACAGGAATATTAATGCATTTCTATGAGATCCACTTGCCCCATTTTTATCGCAACACGAACAAGGCCTTAATTATAACAACTAAATAATAGTGCATTACCATCATCAAGGGTTGAGGAGGGGTGAACCAATTGCTATTATATTCCTGGTTTCTTTTTTTCTGTATATTTTAAAATTAAATGCATCTAAGTATTGAAACGAAACAGCCGATGAAAGCGTTTAATTATGTAGGGAAAATAACATACCTGGAGGTATATATCCTATGGAGCCCTTGAGGCCGTATGTAGTGGTAGTAGAATGTTGTTGAGTGGATGTCTCAACCATCAAAGTTGCGAGACCAAAGTCCCCTACTTTTGCATTCATCTCGTCGTCC